AAGCAAAATTTTTTGCCCGGTAGTAAAAAGCATATAAATCACAGTTTCAATCTTTATACAACATTTAGGAAAATTCAACAAAATTTCAACTTTTTATCTGAACCTTTACACCACTTTTTGGTATGCAGTTTTCTAGCCCATACAATTTTGGTCTACTGAAGTGCAAATTTCAACCAGCTAAAAAATGCGCTGATTTTTGATACTTGTTTTTTGGACACTACTTTTGCGTTTTTTTTTTTATATAACAAGTGTAATTAACAAAAAATGCCGTTGCCGTTGTTGCTAACGGTCTCCCTCATTTTGTTTCATAAGAAATTCATGCTTATATGGAAAAAGTGCAAAAATGCGTCACCAAAAAAAAATTCTCAGAAATCAGCCGTTTGAAACTTGCACTTCAGTAGACTAAAATTGCATACCTAAAAATCTTCTAAAGAATCAGATTAAAAAGTTGATTTTGATGAAAGTTTGTGGAATTTTCCTAAATTTTGTATAAAGCTTGTAACTGTGATTTAAGTGGTTTTTGTTAAAGCTTGGAAAATTAGCTCGAAAAACATTACGAATATATAAAAAAATCAACACGTGGTCATTTGTTTGAGTCACGTATAACTGCGTACTTAGGTTTTCTCTCTGACGTCGATTTTTTTTGAGAGGACGTTGGAATTGAGAAAATCTGATTATTCCAAAAAATTATTTTAAAAATTCAGTGCAAGGTAGTATAAAGATAAGGGTATCAAATATAAGATAAAATTCTGTAGAATTATGGATATGAAAAAGTCCTTTAAATTTGTGGTCCTTAAAAATCTTTGAAAATTTGCAATATTTATTTTTGAAAACATTATTTTTTTGAGGACTAATATATGAACATACGACTACATCATCGAATTTCGTCCTGCAAACTTTATTAACTTGAAAAGATAAAGTTTATTAAAAGCGCATTTTCAATACCTATTCGTCCTTGTAAACCAAAAAACTTTATTCAGCCTTATCATGAGTCTAATTTTCCCCGAACCGGTTCACTTTTCACTTTTGGTTTCCATAGTTTTACTATGGGCGGATGACAAATTTTCGGGTGAATTTTTTTCAGACGAAACTCAGGATAAGGCAGATTGTGTTTTTAATTCAATGGAATTTTCTCTTTCATTTGGTACCCATAATGTTATTCTACATTGCACTGATTTTATTAAATAATTTTTTAAATTAATCATATCTTAGAATTTCCAAGTCCTTAGAAAAAAATCCTGACGCCAGAGTGAAAAACTAAAAACGCAGTTTTACTGTATTTGGCCCATAGTTTCGTGAGTATATCGTTCCTTTCCTGTGCTCTGAAATTTTTTAGTTTTTATAGCACAGTGTTATTCATAGTATTGAAATATATTTCATGAAAGCAAAAAATAAAAATAGGTGACCTTTTTTAAACACCTACGATATCACTGACCATTATAAAGACCCTGAATGACGGGAAAGCTCAAAGCTTTACAAATTTGTTGATGTAATTTTTGAAATGAACGATACAAAACTAGCCGGTATATATATTTTAAAATTTTTAGAATCAGTGGTTGAAATTTTATACGGAAAGGGTTAAGAAAGGTTTAGTTTAAAAGTGTGATACTAAATGCCTTTCACCATAAACGCCGCCATGTACCGCCGTGTACGCATGGTATTCTGGGATTTGGTATAACATAGATCATCCAAAAGTTAATCAAGTCAACCCAATAACTCAAAATTGATAAATTTACTCATTCATGCTTCTGGTATAAGGGCGACGAAATGTATTTACTTAACATTTATTAATTTTTTATACCCCTGTCCTACATATCTTCGTAGTAGCAATTTTTCGACACCTGAGTGGAAGATCGACCTATTTCGGCAGCCAGTTCGAAAACGCCCTATATCAGAAAACTTTTCAACAACGCCCTACTGCAGAATTTGATTGAAGAACGCCCTATTCCAGAATTTTATTGAAAAACACCCTATCTTAATATTTGGTTGAATGACGCCCTATCTCAGAATTCGGTTCAAAAACGCCCTATCTCAAATGAATATATCGATGGCTGAGTGGAAGATCGACCTATCTCGGCAGCCAGTTCGAAAACGCCCTATCTCAGACAACTTTTCAAGAACGTCCTACTTCAGAATTTTATTAAAAACAATCTTTTTCAGAATTTTATTGAAAAACACTCTGTCTCAGAATTTTGTTGAAGAACGCCCTATCTCAGAACTCGGTTCAAAAACGCCCTATCTCAAACGCAAATACATTGAAAATAAGCTGAGATAGGGCGTTTTTGAATCGGCAGCAGAGATAGGGCGTTATTCAAACCAATTCTCAGGTAGGGTGTTTTCCAATTAAATTCTGAAGGAGGGCGTTCTTGAAAAGTTTTCTGAGATAAAGCGTTGTTGAAAAATTTTCTGAGATAGGGCGTTTTCGAACTGGCTGCCGAGATAGGTCGATCTTCCACTCAGCCATCGATATATTGAAAATATGCTGAGATAGGGCGTTTTGGAATCGGCAGTTGAGTTAGGGCGCTTTTGAGCCGAATTCTGAGATAGGGCGTTCTTGAAAAGTTTTCTGAAATAGGGTGTTTTCGAACTGGCTGCCGGGATACATCGATCTTCGACTCAGGTGTCGATTTCCTGTTTATATTCCTCTATTTGTATGAAAACAAGTCAAAAATGTAAGTTAAGTACTCCACTCTACTTACTAAACTAAATTTATATTTGGCTATTAGTTAAGATTGTCATTTCAAATGGAAGCATTTAGGTTACACATATGTATTAATAAGGACAGATCAGTCAACTGCATTTCGAATAAAATATTCGAAATATATTTTTATATGTCAGATATTAGCGACAGCAAATGTTGGAGTCAGGCTGCTGTCCTCCTTGTCAGAGAACGCTTATGAGAGGGCGCATTTCCAGTATGCACTTTTTGCCATCAGAAATTTTGAGTTGTCGTCGACGAAATACACCACTCGTTTGCGATGTCCCGGCTGCCACCACCACGGTTGCCACACACTTAGAAATAATTGTACCAACATTTTTTAAAAAGATTACCAAAAAGTTATCAAAAATATTAACAATTTTTTTTCTTTTGTAGTAAATAATCTACGTTTCATTTGAACTTTCGAGCTCATATGAAAGTTGCCACACAACTGTTTTATTTATCTATCGATTTTCTTTGCTTGACTTCATCACTATTTTATAATTTTTTCTCCATTAACGAGCCGTACGCTGTAGAAGTTTAATGTGTCCAAAACTGTTCAAAATAACTCTAAAAACATCCACACTTATTTTAAAAGCGAAAAGACCTACTTTCATTTTCAATAAAATTTCTGAGTGGAACAACTTTTTTTAGCTGAATAAGGATAAATTGCAAATATCTCGAAAACTTGTCCGCAGGAAAAAAAGAATTACTCGGCTTTCGGAATCAGCGAGCTATTATAAATAGTGGCAGAAGAAAAATTAAAATTTCTGATCCAGTGAAATCATTCATTTATAGATGTTCACCGCTTTGAACCAATGATTAATGATTAATTTTTATTTTTTAAAGCAATTTTAAATAAACTTTAAATCAATAAAATAACTTTAATATTTTAAATAAATGTAGTGCGTAAGCTAATCTTTTTTGAGGCAAGGATAGCTTCATTATTTCACAGGTTAACTTTCAAATCTCGTCTTTATTTCACTGCATATCATTTAGACAATTTTTGGTGGAAAAATTCAAATAATAATCTTCTAAATTTTAAAGACCGCAGTCTACACCAAGATCCCATCTTCTCATGCATATCCCCAATTATAAATCATAAATTCGTATCTA